GACAAATTAGTTTGTCATTTAAACACGTCATGACGACATAATATGACGAATGCTATTCTAACGATTAATTTTGTCATATTTTAGTGCCATACATCTGGATATGGGACGCATATTTTGACGACAACATATGTGACCTAGAATTTTGTCACATTACTCGTCTACTATGACCAACACTAATGACAATACATTATCTTGTCACATTAGGCATCTCAAATAGGACGGATTTGAGTTTTGTCAAATTACACCTTCTAAGTGACAAAATTTAAGTTTTGTCATAACAGACCAAATTTGTTGTAGTGCATTCTTCAGGTGTAGGGACAGGGTAATCATGTAAAGGTAAATATAAGGGGTGGTTTCTAGGTTTTCCTTGTTGTGGTAGGTGTTTGTTCACCATTTTTTGTATTTTCGATTCTAGACTTTGTCAGTTGAGCTTAATGAGAATAGCAACTTATCGAAGAAAAAAAATATTTTTACTAAGAAAATCTGCAAATGTTTAGCCAATAAAATAATAAAAAAATGTTCGAGGGTTAGACCTATCATTAAAAATAATAGATAGGTGCATAGTATGTATGATAATGAATTTGGTATCTTGGTTCAGAATATTGACACAAGATGCATTAAAGAGTTAATCAGTGTGATTGATGGATTAAGATGCATAATAACATATACTCAATTAGACAACAGGCCGATCACAAAGCTAGCTTAACAAAAAATTATGTTGTGGAATCTATTACATATTGCTCGATGAACTTACTAGATGATGATTACTATATTTCTATTGCTATGCACCACCATTTGACATAATAATATATTTCTAAAGCTGAAGTGCAATTACTGTTGCATAAAAAATTATAAATTAGTCAGTAATATTTTACATTTTGATATCCCATTGGACAATTATGTTTTGATATCTAAATTTTATGAGATTTTCGTACCTATAATTTTTTAAATTTATATATTGGTCCAATGTTTAGATTTCACTTGAATCTATAAATCCAATCCACCAATCTCTTGAACCAATCTATGAATCCAATCCACCATAACATAAAAGTATAAATTTAGATTGTACCATACAAGATGTTGTATCACTTAACTATAGGAGAAGATTCGGTCAATTTATCTAAAATTTATGAGATTTTCATACCTACAATTTTTTAAATTTATATATTAGTGCAATGTTTAGATTTTACTTGAATCTATGAATCCAATCCACCAATCCTTTTGAACCAATCTATGAATCCAATCCACCATAACATTAAAGTATAAATTTATTTTGTACCATACAAGATGTTGCATCACTCAACTATAGGAGAAGATTCAACAATTTTATCTAAATTTTATGAGATTTTAATACCTACAATTTTTTAAATTTACATATTGGTCAAATATTTAGATTTCACTTGAATCTATGAATCAATCCACCAATCCTTTTGAACCAATCCATGAATCCAATCCGCCATAACATAAAAGTATAAATTTAGTTTGTACCATACAAGATGTTGTATCACTCAATTGTAGGAGAAGATTCAGTCATTTTATATTTGCACATTACATGAAACGTTAAAAATAATCTTTATTAATATACTATTTTTATATATTCTACTGACAAGTATGAACGGGTTCATACACGACTCACCAACAGTCTTGGGAATTAATAATTGAACCATGAACCACTAACTTTTTCACCTTAATGTCGAGTCCAATTAAAAATAAATATATATGGTTATTACTTATTGAAAAGTGGTAATTTTCCACTATGGAATTTGAAGCGTGAAATTATAAGCGAGTTTCAGTTTGTATTCCTTTTGCTTCTTTGTAGAGTTTTTTTTTTCCAAGGCAAGCCCAGAGGGCATGGGATAAAGACTCGACACGAATACAGGACTGACTCAGACAATGTACGATAGTCTGTATGCAACCAGACTACGATGAAAGAGCATGTAAAGCCACTACTTGGGCAGCTCTGAAGAAGCTCCGAGGAGCTAAGACACGACACTGACGGAAAAAACATAAACAAAAATCCAACAACACCAAGATAGTCCCGCCAGCGAGTGTAGTTTCCTTCGACAGAGTATACCGGATGCCCATAGAGTTGCCATAAAAAGCCACAACAAAGAAAAGAAAGCGACATTAGCAATCTTCCAGAGAGCATTCTTAATTACTCTCAGAAATTCTTAAAGGCCAATAAAATCGAACTATCACCTGATAGGTCAATGAAACTTATGTCACTTCCTTCAATCACTTTCATACCATACGCGCACCTGCAATGATCAACCAGAAATGCACGGCTATGGTGCTAGAAATCTCTGTCACAAGAGATTAAATATTGCCTTTAAGGCAAAGTCGACATTATCGAAAATATACCACCAACGGTATTATTCACCTCTTATATAACCTCTTATATAAGCACAGTACAGAAAAAAATAAGGTCAACTATAATTAACAAAACTAAGTAAAGTAGTCATATTAACAACTACTCCAGACCCCAATCCGTTACTTACCTCACTCTTAAGAGTAAACTTAAATTCACGCAAATTTGGAAGAGATTAATTAATAATTAGCACCAAGGGCATACGAATGGTGAAGCACAACTGGAAATTTAAAGCAGACAATATTATAAAAAAATTATAAACTATTAGCCGAAATTAATAATCTCCACCACGGTTTGATTATTGGCTCACTACCGGAAAACCAAAGATAATTATTATAATGATTACCTTCACAGCTAATAGTAAGGACTATTAAGATAATTCAAACTAAAGCATTGATTGAGATTTAGTCAATACAAATTACATCATCAAAAGTTCTATACAGAATGGAAAAATAATTGCAATTAAAGAAGGGAAAAATACATAACTGAAAGAAGATAATTAACCGGGAAAGTATAATAAACAACACTAAAAGCTAATATTAATTGCAAATAAAGACAAAGGAAACAAGAAATTAATATTACCATAATTATTCAACGGAACAAAATATTACCATAATTTCGTCAATCATATTAATTACTGACCGTGCAAGACTGATGGCACCCTTAGTGGCGTAATATCCGCTTTCCAAACGGCTCATCGGAGACTGCCGCGCCGGAAATTACAACCACCATCACCGACCGGAAAGGCCATCCCCTGCCCGCCCCGCCACCCACGAGCTCGACGGGCCACCACCATTGCTCCCGCCGCAGCGATCATCCAAGAGAAAGACGGACCACAACGATCACGGGATTCACGCCAGCAGCCATGATAACGGTAAGGATCGAGACTACGACCATCACAAGCGCGAGTAGCGAGACCTATATCTTGAAGGTTCTGACCACCCTTCACCTTCAAGTTCTTAGTACGGTTCACCTTAAGGTTCTGACCACACTCTCTTCATCTTTGCTCACTGAAGGTAGAGTTTTTCTTTTTCACCTGTGATAGAATTTTCAACAATTATACATGGAATGTTTGGTTAGGTATCTACACATATCAAATAAATATTTTCCATTTTTGCATAAAAAGGTAAATAATTATCATCTAAATACATCACCATAAAAGCAAACAAGCCTCAACTATACAAATTACAGTTCAATACCTAAACTTAATAGATCTTTAGATTTATAATCTAATTTTTTTGGCATATAAGTCCTCCAAATATTGATGAAACATTATATTTTAGTACCTAAAATTTTTGTGTACTGCATTTTGGTGCCTAAACTTTTGCAGTTCTACAAATAGGTCTAATTTTTATATGTATAATTAAAACACACTCGAATAAATGGATATCTATACCCAACTCATACATATTTAGATTATGGAAGTAAATATCCATACCCTACCCAAATCCATCTACAAACTTCCAAACCCATATATACGTCACCCGTACCCTACCCATAATCAATGGGTCTACTTGGGTTTAGGTAAATATCCTTTATTAGTCAATTTTTTCAAAAAAATAATAAATTGGATGTTGACCGCCATATATCTCTTCTTAGTAAAATATTATATTGTCAAGTCAAAGCAGGGGTATAATTGTCATTATGAAAAATCTGTTTAAATAATAAAAAAATAATTTTTTTTTATTTACTGCCCAAAAATTTGGTCGCCGGAATTCTGCCACCGGTCCCCGGAACATGCTACTTGTCCCCGGAATATGCTATTTGTCGCCGGAATATGCTTTTCGGCGTCGTAATATGCTTACCGGCGTCGGAATATGCTTCTCGGCGTCGGAATCTAGTCATCGGGGCCGGAATATGCCTATCGGCGTCGGAATCTGCTCACTGACGGTCACCGGAGTTTGGTCAACGAAATTCGTTGACCGGTCAACGATCACCGGATGTTATGGTTAGCATTGTGAGATTTATGGTTTGGTTTCTCATATTTTTTTATGCCTTTTGTGGTATGTTTTATCGTGTTTGTGGTTTGCATTGAGAAGTTTCTGGTTTGCTTTCAAAAACTGTGGTTTGCATTGTGAGGTTTCTGGTTTGTTTTAATATATTTGCGGTTTGCATTAGGACGTTTATGGTTTGCTTTTTTGTGGTTTGATTTACTGTGTTTGTGGTTTGCTTAGGAGGTTTCTGGTGTGCTTTCGCAAATGTTGTGGTTTGCTTTGTGAGGTTTCTGGTTTGTTTTAGGAGATTTGTGGTCTGCATTAGGAGGATTCTGGTTTGCATTAAGAAGTTTATGGTGTGCTTTCGAAAATTTTATGGTTTGATTTGTGGGGTTTCTGGTTTGTTTTGTGAGGTTACTAGTTTATTTTAGAAGACTTGTGGTCTGCATTAAGAAGTTTACGGTATGCTTTTTTGGATTGTTTTATTGTGTTCGTAGTTTGTATTCAGAAATTTATGGTATTTTTTCATATGTTTCAGGACATTTGTGGTACTTTTAGATAATTCTTATTTCATTTGTCGTAACTTCATCTCAGCATATTACAACTTCGTATAGGCAAAGAAGTCTCAAAATTATTTGCATAAACAGAAATTCCAATAGGCAAAAGCTATAAAAAAACATTATCGATGTTCACTCAACCCCATTTTCTGCCAAATAAAGAACACCCAACTCCAATTAGCACAACATCATATCAATTTTCTACATAATCGCAACCTTTTTCCTAACCTGCAACCCAAAATACTATCACCGGAAGAAGAAAGTAGATTTCATAACTCTAGAATTAAATGCTTGTTGTGGACCAAACTACTGCCTGCAAGCAAATCCCAAAAAAGAAAGGGATTAATCTTCCAATTACAGGCCCCAATTTCAAATGTAAATTCTGGGCAAATTTAGACCCCTCACTACCAATTATATACATCAACAGATCCATTGAAGATCTCCCACAGCCACGGCCCCTGCTCACCAACAGGGCAAAGGCAGGGCAACCAAAACAACGACGACTCACCTTCCAACACCACCACCGCCATCGTCGCCACTTCCTACGCTCTAGATACGTCCGGTCGTGGAGAGGTAACCGTGGTTTCGTACACCCGCCGCTCCCTCGGCAGCGGAAACTACCTCGTCGTCGCGGCTTCGGCACTCCGAAAACAAAGCTCCACTTAATGCACGACTCCGGCAGCGAGTTCTCGTGGGTGGATTACCGCCAGCCCGGCAAAATCGACAACCATTTCGACCCTCGATCCTCTTCCACCTTCTCCAGGGACGTCCGTGCTTGGTCGTTTGGATTGGCATCGATCGGCGGCGGCAGCGCTAGGAGAAAGAAGAAACGATGGGCTGAAGGAAGAAGACAGTGAGATCCGAAGGATTGGGGATCGGAGAAGAAAGACAGAGAAACACGCTTTTCTTCCTTTTTTATTCTATTTTTTATTTTTATTTTTCTTGTAATTTTACCCTTATACCCTTGTTCTTACAGTAACAACAAAAGAGGTGTTGTTATTCTATCCGAGCCCAATGTCTAGCCATGCCACAAAAAAAAAGTCTAGCCATGCCTCCATTAAATGTTCGCAACTTTAGTTTAAGAATGTTACTCTTGAAGAAGGAAAATCATTTTTTGAAGGCTAAGCTACATGAAGATAACGAATGCAAAGAAGAGAAAATCACTATAGAAGGTTTGGCCCTGCTGTAGGTTTTGCAGAAACAGCTTCTGGCTGGAGCTTTTAGGTAAGTACTTTTCAAAAAAAGCAGTTTGGCTGTAAAACTATTAGAAGTGCTTTTTAATATGAGCGGTTGTGTAAAATGACAATAAAGGACTTATAATATAAAATATAAATAAAAATTCTAAATAATATAAAGTAGTCAAAATGGATCTTATTAGATTTCTTTTATATTAAATAATATGATTTTATAATTTATTTTATTTTTAAAATGATATAAATGAAGAAAAATTATATTTTCTGAAATAAAATTAAAATATGGTAAGGATAATCTTTTATTTTCAAAACAGCTTTTCGCAGAAGCTCCAAATCAGAGTTTCTGTTTTTATGTTATACAAAAGCGCTTTTCGGCTTTTCAAAAGCCAAACTTTTAGAGGTGTTTGACCCTGTTTCAGCTTTAGAAGTGTTCTATCTACTTCTCAGTCGTTTGCTGCATTGGAAGGGTTAAATGAGGATAAGGTTGTTCAACTCCAGGGGGCTCCAAAAAAAGGTGGGAAGAAATCAGGGCTTAATCAGCCCTCTTCTCCCCCATGATTCTTCTTTTCTGGAATGTTAGAGGGTTTAACAAACCCTCTAAAAGGAAGGACCTGACTAGGGTTCTTCACAAGTGTAGAGTAGAAGTGGTGGCTGTTATTGAGACAAGAGTTAGGAAAGTAAAAGCAGAGGAAGTTGTAGAAGGTTTTTGCCAGGACTGGAAGAGACATCTAAATTATGTCGATTCTGTGGGAGAGTATGGTAATTTTGGGATCCAGAAGTGGTGGATGTAAGAATTTTGCTCACGAGGAAACATTTTGTGCATTGTCTAGCTACTTCGGTCAGTGGGGAGTCATTGTTTTTCACTGCGGTTTATGGCTCTAATGATGAAATGGAGAGGAGGCAGACTTACCAGGAATTAGCTCACACAAAGATCAGTGGAGTTCCATGGCTAATAAGTGGGGATTTTAATGCGGTATTGGCACCTGAGGAAACCTCTAATCTGTGTGATCGAACTAGTTGCATGGATGATTTCACTAAATGGGTAGCTGAAGTGGGCTTAATTGATCATAGAATGGTGGGGCCTCAATTTACTTGGTCTAATAAACAAGTGAGTAATCCGATAGCTAAAAAGTTGGATAGAGCATTGGTCAATGAAGGTTGGTTTGATGCATTCCCTGACTGTAGAGTTGATTTACTCACAGCTCCTTTCGCTGATCATTGTGGTGTACTGGTAGCAACTCAGCCATGTCAGAAATCGTTCCCTAAACCATTTAAATACTTTGAGTTTTGGGCGGAGGACCCTCAGTTCCTCCCTCTAGTTCAAAAAGCTTGGGAGCTGGATGTTCAGGGATCCCCTGTTATGGTGGCAAAGGCTAAACTGAATGAGGTGAAGAAGGTGTTAAAGAAGTTTAATAAGAAAGTTTATGGGGATCTAAGTGGTCAGGTGAGGAATATGGAAGTTCAGCTTAGTTTGGTGCAGATTAATGCATTGGATGAGCCTGGGGAACAAGTGTTTCAGGAAGTTTCTACTCTGGAAGCAAAGCTGAGGGAATTAAAGAAGGCTGAAGAAAGCATGTATAAACAAAAATCAAGGATTGACTGGCTTGCTCTGGGTGAATGTAGTACTAATTACTTTCGACTTGCAGTGAAAATTCGAAATGCCAAGAAAGCAATAAGGAAGTTGGTGACTGATTCTGGTGAGGAGTTGCTTGATAGTGAGCAGATTGCAACTGAGGTTGTGCGCTTTTATTCTTCTTCTTTTGGCAAAGTGGATTCACAAGTGCATCCAAATAGGGAGAAACTTGATAGTTTAACTCAGAAGAGGTTGTCAGATGATGAAAGAAACTTTCTTTGTCTTCCCTTTTCTTCTGAAGATGTGTTGAATGTGGTTAAGAATATGGATCCTCATAAAGCCCCGGGCCAGATGGTTTCTCTGCAGGATTTTATAGGAAAACCTGGTCTATTATTGGAGTGGATATTACAAATGCAGTGCTGGATTTCTTTCATTCAGGGTGCCTTCCAGGTAGTGTTAACTCTGCTGCCATTACTCTTCTGTAGGGGTGGGAATCGGTCGGTAAACGGTAAATTGTTTACCGAATTTACCGGTTTCGGTATACCGACACTGGCAAAACCGTTTTCCGTTTACCGATACCGGTTTGTAACCGGTTCACCGATTACCGAATTACCGGTAAACGGTTACAAACCGGTTTACCGAATTACCGCAAGGGCGACGTGGGGGCGGGTTATCGGTTCGGTTTACCGAACATTTACCGAAACCGAATTTCTATTAGTGGGAAGATTTGAAGGGGATATTGTCCATGTCACCACTACCTTTAAGCCAAGGAGTAATCCTGGCACTGCTGCAACAACGTGCGTGTGACATCATTAACGAGACCACAAAGAAGGTATCATGGATGGCTGATGTGGCGGTGGCCATCAACCCTGCAGATCCAATGATCTCTGTGCACGTGCGACCCATCTTCGAGCAGGTGTATCAGATACTGAATCATCACAGGAATCTACCCACAACTTCTTCAGGGAATGCTTCCAACATCCGGCTTCTCATGTATGTCATTAACTCCGTGCTGATGAACTGTAAATGAAAAGAATGAGGGGGAATGGGCGATGATCAGCGAGTCTGGATTTGAGTTTAATGCTCGTTTATACCATGATATTGAATTGGCAAAAAGAATTCATCTTTTATGGGTTCGGTAAACGGTTTACCGATTTACCGTTGGTATTTACCGATACCGGATTCGGTAAACCGATACACCCCAGCCCACGTTCGGTTACCGATACCGTCGGTAAACGGTTCGGTAAAACGGTAAACCGTTTGCCGACAAACCGAATCCCACCCCTACTCTTCTGCCTAAAATCCCTTTCAGCTTGTGCTCTTAAGGATTTCAGACCCATTTCCTGCATTAATCTTCTTTATAAGATTATTGCAAAGTTGCTGGCAACTCGTTTGAGAAAGGTCCCCCCTCGGTAATCAGTGGTAATCAGTCTGCTTTTATTGAGGGTAGGAGAATTATTGATAATATTCTTATGGCCCAAGAATTGGTTAGTGGTTATCATAAAAGGAAGTTATCATCAAGGTGTGCTATAAAAGTTGATTTGATGAAAGCGTTTGACTCCGTTAATTGGGAATATCTCTTCTTAATGATGTCTGTCATGGGTTTCCCTAATCAATTCATTAGATGGATATCATTGTGTGTCAAAACTGCTCGATTTAGTATATGTGTGAATGGTGGTTTGTGTGGTTACTTTGGGGCTAAGCGTGGGGTTAGACAAGGGGATCCTCTATCCCCTTATCTATTTACTATTGCCATGGAGGGTTTGACAGTTACTCTTAATGCTGCGGTGTGTTCTGGTCTTATTCCCTACCACCCTCAGTGTAAGAGGGTCCAGTTAACACACCTTTGCTTCGATGATGATCTCCTAATTTTTACTGAGGGATCTGGGCGTGCTATTGCTAATATACAGAACCTTCTCCATGAATTTTATGGGATGTCTGGGCTTCAATGCAATCCTCGTAAGTGTGAAGTATATTTTGGGGGTGTTCGGTTGATTTCAAGAGTCAAGCTTTGGAGGTTTCTGGTTTCCAAGTGGGTAAGCTCCCAGTTTGTTATTTGGGACTTCCTCTCATCTCTGGTAAGCTCTCCTCTGCTGATTGTGCCAGGTTAGTTGATAAAATTACTCAGAAAATTAAAAGCTAGAGGGTCAAAAAACTAAGTTATGCTGGTCGTTTGCAACTCATATCATCTGTTTTTATGGGAGTGCTTCAGTACTGGATGCAAGTATTTTTTCTACCCAAGAAGGTGCTTAAGCAGGTTCACAAGGTATGTTCAAACTTTTTATGGCATGGTGGTGATGAGGGGAAGGCTAAGGTTAGCTGGGAAAGACTAGCAAGGCCTCGACAAGAAGGAGGTGTGGGGCTTAAGGAGCTGTTTTCATGGAATCAAGCTTGTACTACCAGGATGATTTGGCTTCTGCTCATGCAGAGTGGGACCATTTGGGTGGCCTGGATCTTACATTATCGGATTAAAACAGGTAGTATATGGACAATAAGGCTCTCTTCTAGTAGCTCTTGGACTTGGAGACGCATTCTTAAAGTTAGAGCAGAAGTTCAAAGGCATTTCTCAGGTCAGGGGAGTTCTTTATGCTGGGATGACTCCCCTATGCAGAGGTACTCGGTTGGTCTGGTTTGGGAATCCATTAGAGTGAAATGGTCCAAGATGAATTGGCACATGCTGATATGGGGAAAAGGATTTCTTCCTGGTCCTAGTTTCTTAGCTTGGCTGATTCTCCAGGATAGTATCATTACTAAAGATAAACTGATAAAATGGGGCAAACAGATTGATAGTACATGTATTTTATGTTGCAATCTGCCTGAATCGAGAGAACATCTTTTTTTTATTGTTCTTACTCGAGGAAGATATTAAGGTTGGTACACTGTGAGAGCTGGTTTTGCAGGGGTGATTGGCCTGGAACTTTGTCAGCAGCATGTATGCTGAGTCACAAAAACACAGCTGCAGGGAGAATGGTGGGGAGGATTTGGTGTTTGAGTGCTGCTATCTGGAAAGAACGGTGCAAGCGTGTGCATGGGGATACTGGTTGTAGTGCTGAGCTATTGGGCAAGATGATATTACAGGATTTGTAGTTCATGAGTCTGTTTAATGGCACTGTGAAGAGTGATTTGCATATGTTAGGTATTGGTTTTTGATTCTGTTTTGATTAAGTTGTAGGTGTGTAGTGTTGTGGTGGAGTTCCGAGATAAGCTGTCCTATCTTGTTTGTTTGCTTAGCTTCCAGGGATGTTTATCCCCTTCGTTGTATCAGATGTTTGCTTTTCTTATTAATGGGAAGAACTGATTCAGCGAAAACAAAAAAACCGGGCCAAACGTAGGCTATATATCTAAGTAGAATTCCTCTTATGGGAGGGATTCGTAGAAGATTACAATCTACAGACCTGATTAATAACAGCTTAATCCGTTGCTAAACAACCCAATCATGAAATAAAACATTAATTAACTGAACGGCTCTTAATTAATCATAGGAATAAGCGAGGGAAATTAAATAATAAAATAAAATGCGAAAACAAAATCGAACACTCCAAGAACAAAGTTAAAAAAATCCTAATCCCAAAAGGCCAAAACCAAACCAAACAATTCCCTTTCTCCTCCTTCCCTTTCTCTTCTCCGTCTCCTTCACGACTGTCTTCTTCGATTCCCCGATCGTAGGTTTCCTCGCAGGAAGTTGCTCTTCGATAGGAAGGACGGAAGGAAGCAAGCGAAGCTAGCAAAACTGGAAGCCATGTCCTGCCTCTCCAAGCCGCCGCAATCCGACGACGATCATCCTTCTTCGGAATCGGAGTCGGAGCTGCAACCGCTGGCTGAAAGCGTTTCATCCGTCGGAGTTACTGCCGTCCCGGTCGTCATCGGCCGTCAGTTGAGCGGCGGTGCTGAGGATTCTCTTGCTCCACCGCTGCTGCCGCCGCAATCGCCGACTACCGTGGCGGAATCTTCTCCTTCGCCGCCTGCTCCGCAGGGTTTGGCCGGGGTTCGCAAGGATCTCGCCGAGATTAAGGGGAGCTTGAAGGCTGGTTTGTCGCTGCTCTCGCGTACCGGGATTTCGAAATTGACCGCCAATTTGTTCCACGAGAGGATAGACGAAGAGGAAGAGGAGGAGGAAGGCGATGATGAGGAAGAAGATTACGTGCCTGGGATTACTGATGAGGTTGTTGAGTTCGCTAATCAGATTTCTGCAAGGTCCGCTTGCTGGACCGACTTTCCATTGGCGCTCGATGCTGGTAAAATCCTGCTCCATCATTTTTAACTTTCTGTTTTCGTTCCATAGTATTGTCGCTTGATTGATAGTTCTAGGGTTGGGGCTGTGGTTGAACATTCCTGTTAGGGAGCACTTTGGGGTTCATGGTGGATTGCCTGCTGTGTTTAGATAGTTCAGAATTGACTGTGTCAGGAGAATGAGTGCCTATTTGGAACGCCATGAATGGCTTACTAGGATGTGCATGTGGGATGTCCTGACTCCTGAGCTATTGGTTCTGATTTTGGATCGAGAGACTATCAAAGGAGAATACTTAACTTGATGTTCCTAACTTTTTTTGCAGACTTCAAATTCTCTGATGCTCAGAGGGAGCATGCTGCAACTATTGAGTACATGGTTCCGAGTTTGAGAGCTCTGAGAGTTAGCCTCCATGGTTTCATGAGGTCTGAGCAGTTCTGGATGGTGTATTTCATTCTGCTGCTTCCAAGGCTGGACGAATATGATAGGGAGCTTCTGTCTTCTCCCCAGGTGAGTTTCAGCTTGTACCCCTCTTATTTGTCAAGAGCTTTTGTGTGTAGATAAAGTGGAAGTGAAAAGGAGAAGTTTTTGTTCTTGACCCAAGCACGAAATATGCTTGGTCATTCGTGGGTGGCTTGTACACAACTTGCTTTGTCTTCTTTTCTGCTGTTTGCCATGGTATGCAACAAGCAAGGCAGTAAATGAAACTGTGTAGTTAGTTTATTACTAAAAGGCTGAAGCTTGACATGGTGGTTGAGCTTATTTAATTTTCGATGCAGAACAGCTTATCTGTTACACAGGTTGACTTCTGTTGTTTTAAAAAGAGTAGTGTTTGGATTAATAGTAAGCACAATATGTTGGAATGATGAGCAAACTCTGTAGGAAGTAATCCCAAGTCAATATGTTGACTTGAAGAGGGTTTGAGCAAACACCCTGTAGAGGTCTGAACTAATTAGAGAAATAATGAGCTCAATGGCCTCTTCATTCATATCAAATTGATTCAACCGGTGGAAAAAGAGAAAAAGATTGTGTTTTTGTCACTCTGCCATGGCGTTGTGTTGTTATGCAACTCACCTAACTCTAAGGGGACAATACAGACAGTGAAGGCATACTGTTGTAGCTTTGGCATTTTTCTGAGATGAAGTCCTTCATACTTCTATGTAGTTGATATAGATTCTTTACAACATTTCTACTGGCTTGGCTTCAATTTTCAACATTTGCACATTCGAAATTCAAGTTCCTAATGTTCACATTGTTCAAATTACTTGCCACCTATCAGCACATACAAATGCATCTTCTTTAACAAATTCCTGAACTTGTTTCCCAGGTAGTCAACACCCGAAACAGACTTCTCCAGAAGCTGCAAGCCAGCAAGAACGAGCAGGCCGAAACCTCTGAAATTGCGTCTCAAGATAGCAGCAGCACCAGAGACGAACAAAACCCCGAGCCACGCCCACAACCTTCGGATTCCGGCATCAGCGTGAGTACCACCACCTCCAGGAGCCGCAAGAAGAAGCACGCAGATGAAATCTCATACTTCTCGTTCAGCGACCTGGACGACGACGACAGCGTCCGTTCAGCCAGGCTTTCATCCTGCAGCCGATCCCGGGGGCTGAGGGATCCTTCGCCCGGAGGATCGTCGACCGAATGGGTCCAGCTGAACCGTGGCTACGACTCTCGCGGCGGATCCGTCAGGTCGAGGCAATCGATCTCTCGCGAGAAAGACTCGGATGCGGATTCCACGGCCAGCGAATGGCTGAAAGTTTACGAGTCTGATTAAAAGAACTGGCCTGCCCGTTTGCTTCAAAATTGTCTATATTTAATCACTGTAAATCTGTTCGATTTGTTTTCCTTCGTTTTTCTTCTGGTTCTTTTTGCAGTCTCTTTCTGCATGTCTTTGTAAATTATGGAGTCACGAAACACCCACTTCTTTGTTTCTTGGTTAAATTGCATGGTTGATGACAGAGATTACTAAAAGCTTTTATGTTTGGTCACTAAAATGGAGAGAGTGAAAAAAATCCCCAATTCCTTCACCCCTTCCCTTCAAATCTTTCCGCCGAGTTCACCTCTTCCCTTCAATCTTTCTTTGTGGATCGATGCCAGTGGATACAAGTGGCGGCGTGCGGTTCAGATGGCGATGACGAGCGGCGGCAGGAGGGAGGCCTAGCGACGACAGGAGGTCGTCAACGGGCGTCGAAAGCATAGCATTGCAGAAGGGAGGCCTGAGCCTGACCACGGTGATGGAGGTCTGGCGATAGCAGGGTGGGTTCGAATCTACGATGATGACGAGTTGGAGGCTGATTCGTCATCGTTCGGGCTGAGGGAGAAGTACGGCGGGAAGACGAGTGGCAACGACATATCACCAGAAGCGGGGAGCGGTAGATCTAAAATTTACTTTCCCTCTTGTATTGAATTTACCGACGAAGGCAGATCTACGTTTGATTACTACCCCCTGTATTGAATCTCCATTTTCGTATATACATAAACAGGGGACTTTGTTTCCGTCTGGTAATCAGTGATGTCCGTGAAGAAAATATCGAGCACACAGAGATCGATTCGGGAAACCCTCAAGCTAGCAGCTGCAGGGTTGTTCTCTATTTATACCTCACTTCCAGTTTTACTGTTCTTACAACGATAATTAAAACGGAAATATAAATTCACCCTGACACGTGGTGAAGTCCAGAAAGGTAAAGCAACAACGAGAAATAACAAAAACGACAGTGCTGCGTTTCGGACGAATGCTCGAAACGTTTCCCATACAACGAATCGTATTCTGACCGAAACACATTTGAACTTCATCTTCTTCACTTTCCCGCCAGTCGCCATTGGAGCTGTCGGAGCTCTGATCAAGTCTTCTTACAGTCCGGGACTGCAAAGCCGAGTAGGGTGAAGACGGAGAGCCGGAAATGCTGAGCCAGAGGTTGCACTTGAAGGAGGTGAGCCTGGGCGGGGAGAGGAAGAGGCAGGGACCGTCGCGGCTTGCGGCAGGGAAGATCTCGCGGAAGTGAGGCGGGGCGAAAGTGGGGTGGAAAGGTGGTGGGTCGGGTCATAGGTTTGTTTTAGTTGATGGGGCGGGTTTTAGTGATGTGGCGGGTTGGGTAAATAAATTTCAGGTTAAAATAAGATGATTAGGTGATTCTGTTAGTTATGTTAGCTAAAAATTGACGTCGTTAACGGAGACTAACGGAAGGTAACGGAGAGTGACCAAATTTAAACTAGTTAATTAATTTTAGTGACTATAATTGAAATTAAATATTTTAAGTGACAATTTGAATGGTTTTAGTAATCTCAGGTCAAACAATTTTAGTAATCTCAATGACCAATCTTGCAATTTACCCTTTCTTTCTTTGCGTCTGTTAATTGTTGAATTGTAAGAATGTTTTTGTAAACCTAATACGTCAAGCCCAATCTAACAGTGAGATCCTCCGTATGGGCCGAGCCCATTATGACATGGTCTAAGCTAGTGTAATTTGGTCACAAGTCACAACAATCAATACAACCCTGCACATAGTTGATTCTCTAAATTAAGGAAAAACCGTTAAGGATCTTCTCTCATGGCAGTAGAACCCGAATCAACATGTATCCAATTTGGTGAATGCGGATAAAATCCGTTTTGACGGATTGTGGTTTGGGTTTAACCATATCTAACTCGTGCTCCCAATCCATACCCTCCACGGCCTACAGAACCCTTAATAATTAACTATAATTTCTAAACTAATTCCTCACACGGTCAATTAATCATATTGTTTGTAGATGTTTATCTTTAATATTGAACAATTAGTATGAATGTTTTGTACGTGATTTAGTGTGATGTAGTAGATAGTAGTAGCTAGTGAAAACTAATGTAATTGCATCTTTGAACATGAACCCATGGGTACCCATTAACCCGCGCATACCGAGCGAATTGAGTTGGATTTGAGTTTTCTAAATTCAATGCGGTTTTACTCTGAGTTTTTTTTTTGGATAAACTCATGAATTTTAGTTTGAGTTTGACAATAACCCGCCCCATTGCCATTCCTACTCTCAAGTAAGGTTTAGTATGTAGTCGCTTTTGACCCATTCATCCCGGCGACTCAGTTATAGGTTGAAGTCGAGTTTAATTGAGCTAATTTGTAGAAACCATAATAATGCGTAGAAATTAAAAGCTGCCACCACCTTAGCTTCCTCTGCATTTCTTGTTACTTCCAATAACCCATATTTTTCTAGGATCAGTTTTTTTTTTTTTTTAAGTTGTTCAAAATCTATCTGCATCATCCACAATGGCGTACTGCGTTCATCCTGCTGAAGATGTGGATCAGCAGCTGGTCACTCCGCTCCTCTACGAGCCCAATTTAGCTTCTGACAAGGAAATATGCGAGCGACGACGACGAGCATGGGAGGACTTGAGCCCAGATCTCCTGAACACGATTTACGCAAAGCTGCCTACCTACATCGACGGCACCGAGTTCGGCTCCGTCTGCCGCAACTGGCGCCAAATTCACTGCGCCGCCGCACTTTCCACTCCCTTGCCACTCACCGTTGGGAGATTCAACAGCATTAGCAGCGTTAGCAAGGACAGCGTGATTCGATTCTCCATTAAATCCTTGGGCTTGGCGATAAAAGCCGCCGGTGCGAGGCGCGAAACCTGGATGGATACAGGCCGGATCCCGGGCTTCAAGGAGGGCCGCGACCTTGCCTGTCACCGCAAGACGATCGTCGGGAGCGCCGGCTCGTGGTGGCTGCTGGTGCAGGAGGAGGTGAAGCCGAGACCGAAGCGCGGCGACATCGAGTACTGCTTCAATCCCTTGCTCCGGAGCCCCGCGAATCTGATCGCCCTGCCCCCACTGTCCACGTGTTCTCTGCTGGCGGCCGATTACGATCCATCGAGGGTCAGAGCGGCTTTCTCGGCCCTGCCAACGGCGCCCGACTGCACGATCGTGGTGGTTCACCCGCCGCGTCGATTCAGCACCCTCCGCCGTGGCCAGCGCGTGTGGAGGTGTTATGAATTCGGCGGCATCGGCGTATTGGATTGCATCGGCATCGGATACAGAGACGGCAAGTTCTTGTGCCTGTTCCAAAACGGGGAGCTATTGATTTTCTCCGCTGTCGAGGAGGGCGAGCGCCGTATGTTGACACCTGCCTCTACTTTGGCGCCGCCGCCTCTGCTTCCGGCTAATCTCCACCGCGTGGACAATTACCTCCTTGTTGCCGACTCTGAAAGCGGCTTCCTGAGGGTGAGTTGGGGTAGAGTTGATGAAAGCAAAAACATCTTCCGGCTGCTGACGGTGGAGAAAGAAACGGAGGCGCTATCCAGGAATGATGATGAAGCGGTGGCTAGGTTAGAGAAAGGGCCGCCGCACGTGTGGTCGGTTTACCTGAATGCCCAAATTCCCGTCAAGCGGCGATGGGGCCGAAATTTTCTAACTCGCTGCTGGAGGTTCATTGTTTGCAAATGTTTTACGTGAGGTCAAATTCTCGTGACTCAATTGATGAAATGGCGATCGTCGCCGGAGCCGTGGTGGTGCTGTAATACTCATTGCGTCGGAGATTGGTGGCCAACGGTGTCGGCCTGTCGGGGTTAATGGGGTAGGCCAAACTAGGGCGATGGATTGCCGACCGTTTTGGGGATTGGGGTAGAATACTCTTTTTGTATGTTTAGGCGAAAATTTTAAAAAATTAAATTAAGGATATTTGAGTAATTTTAATAAATATCAGGGTGACGAATAAGGTATTTTAGGGCGACAAATAGCAATGCGGGTAAATGCCACCTTTAGTCACTGGATTACTAAAACGTGTCATATTTAGTCACTGCAAAAAATTAATATCAATGTTTGCACTCAAATTAGTAAAACGATCCACGTTTAGTCACTCTACGTTAGTCTCCGTTAACACAGTCAGTCAATTACTTATATGGCTAACAAAAATGTTACCTTACCCTTTTTTAACCCGCCACATCATTATAACCTGCATATCATTTTTCCAACCCAACCCTTTCCAACTGCGATCCAACCCGTGATTACTAGCCAGAAATCACTACTTCCCCATCAAAAAATGTTTATGCTAATCCCAAGTTCCTCTGTTGCCCTAAAATCACTACAAAGTACAAACAAACCCACTCACCTCTGAGAGAGATGCAAGACAGATACCAACTAAAAAATGAAGATCCAATTCCCTCCGATGAACTCCATGTCCAAGACCCACCGCTGCTCTTCTCCTCTCTGTCCACGCTTCCACTCTCCTTCCAAATCCCCCGGCCTCACTGCCGCTTCCATATCCTTGTTCGTTCGATGCTCCTTCCCCTCTGCCAGCCGCCATTGTTTCTGTTGCTCCGGCAAAGGAAACTACTCTAGCCTCAACTTAAACGACTCTCCCATCCCTCCACCTCGATGACAACCTTGATCGCCCCCGCTTCAGCTCAGAACCTCGACGGTTAGGGTTTTGGTTAGACTGGGGTTGGCGTTTACTTGAATCAATTTCGTTTGAATGAATCAGCGGTGGGGGATGGATTTGGTGAGGGAGACTGATAGGGTAAAAGCGTATAGCTTCAACTCCTATCTCGTAGTAAACCGGAAAGTCTGGGTATCGTCTCTCAGGGACTGGTACAACCTTTTATTCTATCAATTTATAGAGCAAACTATAGGTGAAAATGGTTTAATGAGACTAATTATCTAAAAGCAAAATAAACTAATTAAGCAAAGTAAAATGGTCGGGAGAAATTCAATGGAGAAAGCTCTGGGAGAAACACCGGGATTCACTACCTATCCTATCCAGATTAATTCACATACGCCAATCAATTTAATCCATACCTCTACAGCCAAGATATCACGAATGTGCTAGCTATCCCTGTCGGGAATTACTACGTACTAAATAATCAATTCAAATCCTACTGTCGTAGCTCAATGAATTAACTATATAGTCTGAAGATCGATATCCTATTTAAGACCGCATAGCACCTTATTTAATCCACTGTCGCTTCGATAAGTTACTATGTCACATGAAATATGTTCAGTTAATAGGGTTTCACTGTCGCTAATAACCTAATTAACTACAAATAGTTGTATTGGTGGCAGTCAACACAAAGCATTAAGTAATTTCATGCAATAGAGATTGGAAGAAAAGAATCATAAATCAATCCATCAAATCAAGAAATAGCTACATCCTATGGTGTTTCCCCCAGAAATCGGGGTTTAGTTCATGACGAAATCAAGATCAAACATTAGGATTTTGTTCATCATGTTCTAAATCAACAATAAACAACTAATTCGGTTTAGAAAATCCAACCAAAATAATCGCTCTCGTTGAAATCAGCTCAAACCGCAAAGTGACTCGCCTAGCTCGTCCCTCAAGCTCTGCTGCGCCGTGTTGCTTTCTTTTGCGCTCCAAAAGAGATCCGCCCAACAAAATTGCTTCCAAGAAATCCCCCCGTCCACAAAAATTAGTCCTCAATATAATTGCCTCCCCCCAAATATTTCAGTTCCGTCCTTTTTGCAATTTTTTCCAGAGACTTAATTCCACCTCCCTCTCTTTAATTAATTGCTTCTCCTCAATAAAATTCTGTCCGCCTCCTCCAAAATAATTGCCTGTCTGCCCTTTTCCAATTACCAAGGAGTTTCGCCTCCAACCCAACAGCCAAGTCCAAATCGTCCAGCCCAAGCCCAATCTCGGTTCAACTCCTCAGTAAGTTTCGGTCCAATGTACATCCAGTCCACTTGAATTATTCTATCCACCAATGCAAATTTCTCGTTTCATTTACCTGAAATATATAAAACATTTGGCACTTGATGGTAATGGTTTTATAACCATTCCAGGCTTAGTTGGACCTCAAACAAGTATTATAGGTCTCAAACATATGATGAAAAAATCACATTAAGCACGCAAAATCAATATGTTTTCGACAATTATCACAACCCCACACTCAATACTTGCTTGTCCCTAAGCAATGACTCAGACAAGAGAACGATAATTGGAGGAAACACAACACAGACCAGGGAGACACAACCATGCTCACACAAAAATCCATGACACACAAAACACAACATCAACACTAGAAATTTACCCCTGTACTCTTGTTGTAATCAGTAGTTTCTTTCTAAATGGAGGAGTTGTGCTTTAATAATCATACCATTCACCCCACACTCAAGGTCTTGCAACCCTTTAATCATTGACTGACTCAAATCCACCAAAAGCTCAAATAGCAACACTCAATTCCGGTCGTCGGTAGTGGGTGGTTAACAACTTATGGTGCAATAGTTATTAGGAGAATCTAACCACATCAGTGAGGAACATATCTCGTGAGGACAGTCTGGCTTACTCACACCAATCATAAGCAATTAATTAAGCATGAGTCTCAAAAACTAATGGGTGAAGCCTTTCGCAAACATGATTTTATCTTTAAGCACATCACTACCTTTTATGACAAGGAGAAGCTTTCTCTCTTTCTGCTTTTGATTGCCGAGAGGTCGTATTTAGTACAAGTGGGATTTGTTTCTTACTACCGGTGACCGAGCAAGAGCAATTTCTGCTTCTTAGCACTCGCATAAGGGCTTCTTTCAACTCCTTTTCCTCGGTCCGTGTGGAGGGTCATTGCATCCTCAAATGGCACTTCACTCAACTGGGGATCGTACATGATAAGCAACATCGTACGGTCGCGAACCGATTCTCAATTGAATCTTTCCTCATCCCCATGTGCAATGAGTGATTGCCTCACACGATTTTGGCATTTTTTGCCCACACTTTAATTGTTATGGCAACTTTCTTATATTTTACTTGTCAGGTAGTGTTTTCTTTTATAAAGATACAGTTCACCCCATCATAAAACCATCAAAACAGAGAGACTCATTGCAAAATCAAAAGCTCACAATTTATGCAAGTAAGCACGGTATCCAAACATGTCGAATGGTCAATGTTCTCCACCTAACTACTTCACCAAAAGTCGTTACACCATCCTCACAAAAGAGAATGTTGCTAAAAGAGTTTGCTCATTCAAAGCATATCAAGTCAGTCAAAACATTCAAGCTCATCGTGAAGAACTTTGCAATTCAACACTAGTGGGGTGATTTTGATGATTTCATTCAAGCACAAACTCATTTTCAAGGCATCACGGTCATTTACATCATGTTACCACAAGAGTACAAGGTTTTGTTTTTAATTTTTCTGATTTTTAGGTGTTTTTTAGCCATTAACTTTGCACGGGCAGCCTGTTTTTTACACAGGCAAACTGCATGCAGTTTGGCTGTGCTCAACCTAATGGCAATTTTTTTTTTGGATTTTTTTTTTACCGACCACATGACAAAAGGAACAAACAAACACTAAGACTCGCCACCCCACACTCAGGATGGAACATTGTCCCTAATGTTCAACTCCTAATCTAAACATGCACGGGTTTGACACAACTAAAACGAAAAATAAAGACAAGAAAACTTACCTTGGGTTGCCTCCCAAGAAGCGCTTGTTTAACGTCCTCAGCCTGACGTTCATGGAGCTTTCAACCAATGGGTATGGAAAGGTATCCAGCATACCCTCCCGAGCAATGATAGAACGCATAGCCTCCATCTAACATATGAGTCACCTCTGCAGGGCCAGGTGTACGAAAATTTGGTATGACCTTCTTATCTTGCATGTTAGACCCTTTAGTGAGGCGTAGGTGGTACTGCAGCGCCTCAAGTAGGTACTCTTCCTGTTTCAATGTCAGTGAAGAAGGAATAATAACAGGAAGATTGAAATCCTTACCCAAATATCGATACTTGAGATAACCTGGCAAGGATTTCTGCCCTTGCTTTGATTTCAGACTTTCAGCTGCTAGGACATGTGATAGTTCTTTGGGTGGTCCACTATCACAGGAAGAAGAATTTTCCCTTTCTCGAGCTCCACTTTCAAAGTCATCAAATGCATCGTGATTATGGTCAACTTGAAAGACATTAAAAATTTCCTCCTCCTTACCTACTCGGAATGTCAACTTGCCTCTCCCGACATCGATGAGTGCCTCTCCAGTGGCTAGAAACGGTCTACCAAGTATGAGAGGCACTCCCCGATCTTCTTCCATCTCCAGAATTACAAAATCTGTTGGGAGAATAAACTTCCTCACCTTCACCAATACATTCTCCACCACTCCTTTTGGAATTTTTACTGATCGATCAGCCAATTGGAGAGTGATCCGAGTAGGTTTAAGAACATCTCCCAACCCCAATTTCTTGTAGACTGAGTATGGCAAAATTCCTGCTCCAAGATCACAAAGTGATTTATTGAATTTTGTACCTCCAATGACACATGGAATGGTGAAGCTGCCCGGATCATCCCTCTTTTCTGGTAATTTATTCTGAATCACAGCACTACATTCAGAAGTAAGGGTTACCTTCTCCAGATCATCCCATTTGCGCTTCTTCGTCAGCAACTCCTTTAAGAATTTAGCATATGTAGGCATTTGTTCAAGTGCCTCCGCCAATGGTATGTTTATATGAAGTTGCTTGAAGAGATTCACAAATTTGTTGAAGTTCGGGTCTTCCATGGGCTTCATTAACCTTTGAGGGAATTTGCCGGGAGGTTCATAAGGCTTTACCTCTTCATTCTTCAATTTTTCCACTTTTTGAGGTACACGTGCAGATTGCTTTTGCACAGGCAGATTGCATGCAGTTTGCCTGTGTAAGTCAGATTTTTCAGCTTTTGCACTTTCTTCATCCTCTACCTCTACAACTCCTTCTTTTTCGGATTTTGTCGACTTCCTTGG